ACAATTTTATATTGAACCTTTATTAATTTCTTGTTTTCCTTTTCCCGATATTCCTACTGATGGTCTCAAAGTCGCGATAATAACTTAAGATCTTCGGAGAGTATACCGTGTATACATTATCGATATTGATGGTAGCATCGTGTTTGCAAGGATTAACTTCAGTGTAACCATGTAGTAGCCTTCCTGGTGTAACGTTGCACACCAGCGGTTTTCCTCGAGTTCGCGAGGAGAGAAACATAGGCGGTTAACTTCGGTTTGAATTAATAAACGAGGCTTGGCTTCTAATACTGAGCTTAACTCAGTTTAGTTTGCCGATCGAGGTCTCCTGCACCGAATTCTAATCCGATTGTGCAGATCACGTGCAATATGGGACGGCGCGTATATAACGTGTTTGAGTAAAGTTATATCCGGTAAACGTGACTTTTTAATGAAAATATGACTAAACGGCAAAGAATAAAGATAAATATTATACATTTAAAAAGAGATATATTTTAAAGCAGTAATTTTGAAGACAATTAAGTTTCTCTATATTACTTATGTCATAAAGAGAAGAAACTAATCAATCTTTGCAAAAATTGATATATATTGTAATATTTTATCTTAACGGAACAAATTGATTTAATTTGATGTAAGACAACTTTAAAAATTATTTCTAAATGGATAATTAATTAATAGATCTCCATAATAGACTCCATGAAATTAAAAAAGATTCATAGAGACTCATAAAACTTATGAGATTTCATCAGGACCAATAAGACACATCTATAGTGTCTCGATTGCTATCGTACCATCTAAAAACATGCTCGTAACACGCCACGATCTGAAATCGCATTGCAGAGAGGACCATCGATGGTTCCTCGTCGAGCTACTAGATGCGTGTTTCTGCAAAAGTGGTAGCATCAACGGCAAAACGGGAAGAGGTGCGGCAAGGACACGACAGGTTTGAATCGAGGATATAGATACCGGCAATCGCGAGGGAAACCATTAAGGGCTGTTTCTGAGGCTTATCGTAGTCATGCAGCGAGAACGCCAAAGCAAGGAGGGCTCGACCCATTCAATTGTCGCGATAACGTCGGGATTCGAGTCAAGATGCATCAGATTTCGGCCGGAAACGACCACGTCGAAGAGCTTCCTCCCCCGTTTAACCATATCCACGAACACTCGTGTTTCCGACCTTGCACCCTTTTGGTTCGTCCTCCATAGGAGATTACGGCCTTGAGATGTAATATAGATATTTGGTCAATGTCACTTCCTCAATTATTCCGATCAATCAAGAATTGCTGATCCGCGATTTAATTGGTTAGATATAATATCCAATCGTTTATCCCATATTAAATCTTAATAAAATAAACTTCGTACTTCTAAAATTTTAATAATAAATTAAATAAATTTTATAATAAATTCCTCCATTACCCATTAATTAACCATTAATTCTAATAAGGAATTATTATAATATGATAAAAATAGTTTATGTAAATAGTGATATCATTTTTTATATGTATTATTTTTGTATTTGATTATTTTCTTCATATAAGAATTTATTATAAAAGACTAGCCTTGTAATACTAAAAGCATGAATGACAAGTAAGAATGGACGGATTAAACATCCGTTGAAACGCTTGGGCGTGTAATTAAAAGCAAGAGAAAAACGGTAATTTGGCTTTCAAGAGACGGAAGAACGGCGCATTTCCGACAAGAGAGAGCCGTGCCATCGATTTCCGCTTTGGCCCAATAATCCCACCTCCATTCACGCCACCGCCGACTTCCGCTCAGAAAGCACGAAGCGTTCCCTTCCGCCCAACGTAGTTCGTCATGTGTACATGACAATAGAATCGCGAGGGTTCATGCATAAATGCGACGTAACAATAAACAGAAGCGGTAGCGGCTAAAGGCACGGGGGATGAAGCGCGAGAGGGAAGTGACCCTTCAAAAGCCGTCATAGCCGGAGGATCAGAAACCAATATGAGATTCGGGCCGTATATGAATGATGTATCGCGCTTCCACACCGCGCTACTATTTCTGTCGTGTCGTTGCGCGAGAACGCGAATAAGAAATCGCAAAAATGCTTCATTCGAAGCGTACAAATGCGTTATACATCGATATGCATTCTCGAACTTGCTGAATATACGATCTGATTACCATAGAAATGAAGAATTTATTATAAATTATATTTCAATTACTGCGCACGCAACAAGGCGTTTCGCACGATTCATGATTTCAATAATTTAATATTGAGATGACAATAATTTAAAAAAGAGAAGATTTTTATAAGATATCTAAAATCTATCATTTACGATTCAATTAACCAATACATACATATCATACATGCAAGCGCAAGCGTATGTGTGAATTTTACCCTCTTACTAGTTCATGTGAATCCAAGAGGGTAAAACCTTAAGGATGATACGCGGTAGATGATTGCCGAAGGAAGCATAGTAATAGTTTATGAGACATACGAGCTGCTTCGCGCGCGCAATCACGGTAATGCTTATACAAGGATCTGCTTCTTTCGTCCTTTTATCTTTTATGTGGCCCCTTCATTTTCTTTCGGATCAAAGATATTTCGACTTGTCCCCAAAAAAGAAATGTGCATTATTTTTTCATATCGTGCTTTTCGTTAAGATTTTTGCGAGACAACTCTAGCTATTAAAGAAAACATAGATAAACACAGTACTCGAATGAAATATATTTATTTATTACATACGCTCTAATTTTTTTAATTAAACGCGACAATTTTTAATCTAAGTTTATAAAAATTTAATTTTAAATTGAGCATTTATAAACAAAAATAGAGATACCATGTACATACATACATACATATTTCTTAATATTCAATAAAGAAAGTATAGAATATATAGGTTTTAATATTGATAAAATTGATAATATTGATAATATTAATTGATAATATTAATAAAAAATATTTTATCAATAAATATAGACTATGTCAGATATCAATTGAAACAAGTTTTAACAAGTAAAAATGCCACAATGAGTACCCTCTTAAAAAGTCTTTTAATTAAATTAAAAACTTAAGGCGCGTTGGTTGCTATCTTAATTATTTCTAATCGATACCAATCGAGATCAAACGAAGCGTTATACATTTCTGGATGGAGATCTTCCTTGCTTTATCGAGGTCGCTACGAGAGTGATGAGGAACCTCATTTACAGTACAGTAAGTACGGCCCCTCTGCCGGATTAGATACTCGTAAACTCTTACAGGTGACAGGAAAAGGAGGGACGCGGGGCAAGGAATAGGAAGGGGTGGCACTCAGGTCCATGAAGATGCGAAGAAGAGGAGCCGGAGGGGTTGATGGCACGCGGGGACCGAGGTTGGCTCGAGTGGCGAAACGGCTGAAAGTTCCTTTCATGTAAAGTAATTAACTACCGGCAACTGTTGACAAACACCTTACCCTTGTTCGCGGGCCTCCTAGCCTCGAGTGTCCTGGCGTCGTTTTCCTAGCACAAATCCACCGCCATACCTTTTACCCTTTCAAGAGAGAAAATTTTTGTATTTTTCAACCCTCCGACCTTTCGTTTTCCTCGCTGCTTTGGTCGCTAACTGGTCCGGCTTTATAGCCCGCGTTCCTTTTCGTTCTTGAGGCTTCTCTTCCTGCATTAAGCTTCTATCATCTTTGATCCTCTTCGGCCTTTGCACAAACCACTGGCCGAGGAAAATCGACCTAGCCCTTTTGTTTTATGAGGCTCTTTTATTATCATATATTTTCAACAAGGAACCCTTACCTCAAAGCGTTATAAAAATTGTATGCACGTGTAATTTTTCATCTTAACGTACACAGAGATTAGTGTGGAGTCCCTTGCATATTTAAATACTGGCCAGAAGAAGAACCACAATTTGAATTGCAAATGTTCAAATTAATAAAAAGTTTTTAGCAAAAACATATGTCCAACACTTTTGTACAAAAACAACTCTCTCTCTCTCTCTCTCTCTCTACTCTCTACTACTCTCTACTACTACTACTACTACTACTACTAC